TCTGGCAGCCCATCTTGACAAAGCAAGCGGGGAAAGGCGGAGCTTTGCAATCCAAGTGCTGGAAAGGAAAGAAGCTGCAGCCGTCCATTCATGATACCTAATCCATCACCATGAAAACAAGCGGCTATTAGTGCAAGGCTTCAACTTCTATCTCAGAAATCTGCACCTCAGGCAGGCTCTCTGGACTCTAGGCACGCTGCGGAATCATCACATGCCAGCACAGGCACGTTTTTTGCACTGCTGCTTCGGGACGTGTCAAATTCATCCAACGACAGTTTCAGAACAGTGGTTGAACTATGCATCTTAGGACGAAAGGAAACATGCCGCTGGATGGTCGGCCCCGCCGCAATCATCGTCGCGACTGAGGCTGGGGAGGCAAAATCAATGCAGGTGCTGTCCAGCGGTGCAAGGTTTGACACCAGTGTCAGGGTGCCGTATGAATTTATCCAGAGCCTTTCTTTGCCTGGAGGCTGGAACATGAAACTACAAAATCCACATGGAGACTCCTGGCCAAAAGCAAGGACACCTGTTCCTCTGTACTGGGGCAGCGATACACCACCCTCGCCTCTCAACTTCTTGACGGCGAGGTTGAGATGCTCACTGCCGTCCGCAAAATATGTCTGTACTCATGCACTTCTCACGCACACCAGCCGAAGAGGTTGCAGGTCGGCGTCTTGGACTCGCCAAACACTGCTGTGTCCAGGACGGTCGGGGCATCGGCGACCTCTGCCTTCAGGTCCTTCAACTGCTCCTGCGCGTCTTTCGCCAAGTCCGCCACAGCCTCCTTCACTTCCTCCTCCTTGGGCAGCTCTTGCTTGGCTTCCACCTGAATCTCCTGCTTCGCCTCTTCCACGGCGGCTGCCACAGCCTCCACCGCAGCTTCCATCTTGGGCTCCTCCTTGGTCTCCTCCACAGTTTGCGAAACCTCGGCTGGCTCAAAAACTGCAGAGTCCTTCGGCTCTGCCTTGCTCTCCTCCTGGGACGGCGAGACCTCCTGGGAGGGCACAGGCTCGACGGGCGCTTCGGTGGAGGCCTTGGACTCGGTGTTCGCCTCTGTCACGGTGATGGGTGCCTTCGCTGCCACCGGCGCCGTCACCTTGCTGTTCTGGCAGCCCATCTTGACATAGCAAACGGGAAAATGCGGAGCTTTGCAATCCATGTGCTGGAAAGGAAAGAAGCTGCAGATGTGCGAAGCTCTGACTCGTGATTCACAGC